AGTTCTAAATATTTATTGGATTTAATATTAAGGTAAATAATGCCTTACAATGCTTATTACTCTACAGATGTTCTAGCTGCAAATAGTTCTGGTCAATATGCGAAAGGCTAAACTGACCATATATGTTTCATTATACTAACATAGAATATAAATTCTCGCTATTATACTAAACAATAGAATTCTTGTATTGTTGCATAAGCTTATTTAAATGATATTAACGATGGCGTTTACCTTCAATTCAATAATAAAAGTATTAGTACTACATTGATTAGTATCTACTAATTGCTTTACGGAAAATTTTGAATAGATTTTATTTTGCTAGTTTTTATCGATACTATTATAAGCTACAAAAACACTGCAATATAACAGGTAAATATAACTTCATTGACTCATTGTGCTTAATTTTAATTACAAATATTGTAATTATATATAGCATTTAATGAAATATTATTCTCTTTAGCATCGATTTATTTTCTCTAAGACCTCTTGGCATTCAAATTTGTGGGTAATTAGTATTATACACAATTGTACTAAAAGGGACACGAACATGAGCATGTTTAGTTTCATTATTAAATAAACGCCGTTATCAACAAACAGATAAAATTTCCATGAATTTGAAATTATTATATTACATTTATTTAAATCGATTTAATCGCACGCAAAGAAAATATATTTAATATCTATTCGAGTCTATTCAGTAGATAAATATTGTGCAACAAGAAATGCATTAACCTGATTGAAGTCTGATTTCTCTGATTATTAAAAGTGAAATTACTTCACAATATATGCAGCGATATTAGGAACACATACGTACATTTGAGATAGATACTATTTTTTTATTATTTAATATAGCTATAGATCATGAATATTTGTTTTCTTATCTCAAGGGTATTATTTAAGCTTACACATCGGAAGCTACATCGGAAGTTAAGGGCATAAAAATGATTGCCAGATCATTATATTTATTCTACTTTTATCTTATATATCAAGGGATTTATGTTTTTTTAAGAATTAATATACAATACATGAATTATATGATATTTTTTTGTCAAAATTAACAAATAAGTGCTATCCAACGCGATTCTTTTTTTGGCAGTTTTCTGTACTACCTACAGATCCATGCATCATTTTTTGCAAAACAGTTTATATTAGCGAAAATTTTAGCAAAATGATATTTAAATATTTAACACTTGTTAAGTTATTTTTATTAAACTTTAATCCTCATTTTATTTGAAGATTTTTTTAGGAAATATTAAACATGTTGTTCGGATTATCCTAAAAATTGTTTCGATAGAACGTATGCAACTCTAATAATAAATATCAAATTAGTTATCTTTTGCACTATTTCACTGATTTTACTAAAGTCTGATTTTCATAGGTTTTATTATATTTCTTATTTTATTAGGATTTAGCTCAATTCTTAAATCGTGTTATGCGAACCCGCGCTTTAAAAGTACCATGTTATGAGGGGGATGGTCACAATTCTTAAACCGTGTTAGAGCGAATCCGTGTTATAGAAGTACCGTGTTATGCGGGGGGTTACATGTATTATAACATTTTTACGTGGGCATGGCTTTGATTTATTACATTACATATTTTAAAGTAACAAACATCTGTTTGATTTAATATTGTGAAGGAGTTAATACTTAAAAACAAGGTAGAATTTAACCTTTTCGCTGAGTTTTGAGTTCTAGTTCACTAGATACTATATAAATGCGGTTTTATTTCTAGGTGCAAAATTGTAAAATGTGTATGATATCAAGTTTAATTTTATCGATTTTTGCACGTATTACCTTCATTTACATACATTAAATAGTTACATATTATTGCGATTGCATTTTCACTACTCTATTTCTTCACAGTTATTAAACTAGACTAGACCTTCATACAAATGTGTCGTGAAATCAAAGTTGGTGGCAATTTGCAGTAATAGCCCCGTCAACTATTAATGTCGATATTCGTGCAACTAAATTTGCAGGCAATTTTAAACAAACTTTTTATATATAGTGAGCAGAAATAAATCTGTTACGATGGAAGAATACATAGAATCGCCCAGGACATGTGTATAGGTATCGTGCAAGTGTAAAATATTAAAATCAGAAAGAAGTAATATATTGCATACCGATGCACGCCATGTATTGTTTTATAATGTATTCTTTTATATCGTACATTGAACTCTGACTACTTTGTCAAAGTTTAGCATTCTCGGACCTTCGTAAACCATTAAAGTTCAGGTTTATATAGATTCTTAGAAGCAATACGTTATATAGGTATATATTTACATGATTTTCTAAAAAGTCTAAGAAATATTTACAAAACCTAGAAACATGTACGTTGTATAAATATTATTGTCTGCGAATATATTAACACTAAGCAAAGATCTTAGTTTTCATAAGTAATATAAGAAACAATAACACAACTACAGGAACTCCTATCTTTATATGCACACATATATTGCATATATTGCAGTTACACCGTGAGATTCACATACGTGTTAATTTCCCAGTAAAAAGATACTCTAATTGCAATATTATCAAGTCTAGTTTGCTTTAAATTATAACTTCTTAACTTTAATATGATAATACTGTCAGTATTCTGACTATATAAATCGACTTGATGTTAACTATTGGAATCGACTGAAAAATCTAGACAAAATTTCTAACGTCTCAAATTTTATATTAGTAATATTAATTTTAATCATAAATATACCATTTTTTATAAATGCACCTTGTTTAATAATTAATTATTACCGTTGTCGTTCTTATTTGTGGATGCAGTGATGGTTGCTTATTATTGCTATGTTAGGTCTGATATATTTAAAAATATTTCAATTAAATATTTATCAAGTCGAGAAGCAGATACGATGCATAAATATTATTGTCTGCATTTGCGTTCATAGTTTTCATAAATAGTTACCATATAAAGTGATACATGCTTTAACATACGTGTTGATAGACACGTTGGTTCTAATTTTCCAGTAAAATAAAGTAATTCTAATAACAAGAGTGCATGCATACGCCGTTCTTGAAATGAACTATATAAATATTTACTCAGTGTCTTATATGCTTCAAAACTTTTCATTCAGGTTTATGTTTGATTAACTCATTTAACAGAATTTCTATATATATATATATATATATATATATATATATATATATATATATATATAACATTTGTAATTTTTTGTATTTTTATTAATTGCATTTTAAAATAGCAGCATTTTAATCTTTTTATTTTATGTTTCTATAATATTTTAAGTAATCAGTTCAGAAATAACCTTTAAATTGATTATATCCATTTACATTTATATTATTTATATTCCGTTGTCTATAAATTGTATCATTTTCAATCTGATTTCTGTCACAGTTTATTATTTAATTGTCTACAAATGACGTCATTCATATGATTAATTCAATCAGACAGTGTTTACAAAGGCAATTCTTGGGAATAATTATTCATAACAATAAACGAAAATAACTCAAATTAATTAAGTGATTATATTATAATTTTTGCATGTCTGGAATGTCGGTATTCCAAAAATGATATATAATGTTATTAGTAAAACGATAAAGAAACATCAATAATGGATTGTATTTATGGAATTAATTTTTGTATTAGTTATTTCACTATTTTAATATTTTCTCTGGACTTTTTTTTTAGTTATTTATAAAATTAAAAGAACGATTATCTTGAAATTTATAGACATTGTTTTTTTTGAATATAAGGGAGACTGGGTACGGTTGTGCCAGGGTACGGTAGTGACAGTCGTTATAAAAGCTAAACTATACTGATTTTATGTAAGGTCCAATGAGACAAAATGAAAAATGATTGTTTGAACAAGTTTTTCGGATGTGAACGGTTGTGCCACTGGCCCTTTATTTGTATGATCTGATTTTATGACTCGTATTTAAGGACAGTATTTTAGTATTTCCACGTAGACCAATGTTCAAATTACCATTTAATTTACTTTGCTCCCAGCTAACTGGTAAATTACCAAATTTATGGTCGATAAAAAAAAGTGGCATAACCGTACCCGGTCTCCCCTACTGTTTTTTTATAGGAACAGTATTACAGACAGCACACTAACATTGATGTAGTTTATTAATCGTTCATTCGTATAAGAATTTTGAATTAAAATAAAAATTGATTTGACATCATTCAGAGGTCCCGGGTTAGATACTCACTTCGAGCAGCCTGTGACAACGATTTTTATTCAAAAATGTAGATAGCAATATGTTGCCAAGCGAAAATAGTCCTCCGGCATTGTTGCACTAATAAAATATTCGCCCTAGTACATAAATTTTTATACTAATATATCGTACAAAGATGTGGCAACTGATTGGGTTGCCATCTGCCAAGCAGACTAATATTAAGTCAAAAATTAGCACAACAGCTTATGTAGGGCTCGCCCGTAGGTAAGCGGTTAAGAGCGACGGAACCTGATTCAGAGGTCCCGGGTTCGATACACACTTCGAGCAGCCTTTGTCAGACAGCAGTGACAACGATTTTCACTTGGAAATATAGATAGCAATATGTTTCCAAGTGAAAAAAGCCTTCACCCGGCGTTGCTGCACCAATAAAAAAGTCAGCCCTATTAGATTAATTCTAATAACAAAAATCATCAAATATGGATGGTTTAACCATTGGGTAACCATCTAAAAAATATGAAGTAAGGGGAAGTTTCACCCCAACAGCTCATAGGACGTAAGGTTCTGATTGCTGTTAAAAATATAATAAAAAAAATAAAAAACGGCTTATGTAACTATTAGATTCTGATTGCTATTCAAAAATAAAGAAAAAAGTTAAATACATTCAATAACGTATAAATAAGTTAAGGAATCAAATAAATTTTTAGGGCAATAAGATGATTAACACACCTGCTATGCTTCCACAATAATTGTTAATGTGTAAATGATTCATAGATAAACAATTATAATTAAATGAAATGATTAAAATCATTGAGTAATATTTTCTCTTATCTCCTTAATTTTTTTTTCTAGAAAATGGTCCCAGCCAGTAGCATGTCGTCTTCGACAATGACAGTATCGACTTTGGTCGAAACCGTGTCTCTGAATTACGAGGATTTCAACGAAAGCTTCTTGACATGCGGCACCTGTCTTTGCGTTTACGACGGCAGCGAACACACGCCGAAACTTCTGCCTTGTTCGCACACCGTCTGCCTGCATTGCCTCACACGCATAGCAGCCTCGCATATTAGAGATAATAACACTTTCAGGTAACTTATAAATATTCATTGCGGGTTAATTGGTTCTTACTCGTTTGACGGTTATGAGAAGATGAATTCCCATTGCTAATTGTAAAATTTAAAAATCATTTCGCTGAATTTACTTACAATTATACCTAAAATTTGAAGTCACTTAAGGGGGTATTCTACTGTAAAGGCATGAATAATATTTTTACTATCGTTTTTTTTATCATTTGTTTATTGATATTTCATTATTACATAAAAAAAAATATTAAAAAAAAAATTAAAATTCACAAAGTTATGAGCAGTCAAAGTGGGGGCTCAAAAAAAAAGAGGGTGTCCTGGCGTGCATGATTCCAACCCTCTTGGTAATCCGAAACATAAAAAATATATGGATTCTTAATTATAATAGATGCCGCTATCGCATGACCCTTGGATAAGTTAAAAAAAAAAAATTGTTTGAATGGCGGCAGTTTGAAAAAAAAATTTTTTTTTTCATGTTATTTTAACAATTCTGAATTTTTTAAAAATACTAAATGAAAAGTTATAGTTTTGGGCAAGGTCCATGCGATAAAGTGATGTATAGAGAAGATCCTCTCGAAATTTGAAGTAAGTCCGTTCATTAGAACTCGAGATATCCTTACCGCCAGCTCGAAAAAAGTAGTTCCGAGAAAAACGCGTTCAAAGTTTTGAGACTCGGTCGGACCCGAACCGAGGCCACGTCACTAAAACGGCTATAACTCAGGAAATAATAGTAATTTTGAAAAATCCTTTTAATGACACATTTTTGAATAACTAAACTTTGAAAATATGAAAAAAAAATTTTTTCGATTTTTTCAGAATTCTACAGTAGAATACCCCCTTAATGTATTTTCTCTATCTATGCTAAATACTATTAACCACGTTCATACAAATTCGCAATTTTCAAATTTCAAATTCAATTTTCACGTTTAAAATATTTTAATTACATACTTTTTGGTGAGGGTCACTATAATTAATCAGATATTAAGCGAACTGTAAATTATAAATATTTCATCACCATAAACTGAGATATGTGAATAAAACCACTCTTTAATTAATGATATATATTGATCTTCACTCTACAATCTTCTCCTCTTGTTACTTTTGCAAGACTCTCAGTTATTATGATTAAAACCACTTTTAATTACTATTATTTTTTTAAAGTAATTCTCAGTAATTTTCATTATTTCACTTCTGGATATGTCTATCCTCTTTGCACTAATAAATTGGTAATTTTCTATAAAAATCTAAAAATTGGAATAATGTGAAACCGAAATGTTATAGTTAGCTTTGCGATTTTACTTCTTGTACCGATATTAAGTTGAAATAACGTACTTTGTATGCAGTTTATATTTATCAAGTGAATAGGATAACGTTTATATTTTTCAAATAGTATATAGACAGTTCATCGTGAAAGTATATTTCTAACAAAATAATAAAAATATTTTATTATATTATTTATATAGGTAAACATATTATTATAGCATTTTTATGTTATTATTTTATGAATATAGATAAACACATACTATTTATATAGATATTATTATACTATATAATTTAGGTTTTTTAGGTGAAACCGACTCAGTATTTAACTTATTATTACTTTTATTTAACAATACTTTTGAATCTATTTGTTCTTTGCGTCAATATCAATTAAAATTTTTCATATGCTCTGCCATCCTCAAGTGAATAGAATAATTAGTTTTTTTTATATAATTATGTAATTATCAATAAAATATTGTGAATATTATATTGCATGGGAAAACAACTATTGAGTTGTTTTTTCAACATGCCCCTTTAGTATGCAATGGCCCTTTACGGTCGACAATAGTAAATTCTACAAATTTATTAAATGCCTTTATCTGGACAGTTGTAAATATAAGAGAGAATAAAAAAAAGTTTTCTTATATGACAGTTTGTCCAACACGAAGATATTTTTTTAATAAAAGTATCACAACATATTGTCATAATTTTCACATATAGGTAAACATATTATTATAGTATTCTAGTAGTATTTAAGTTTTTTTTTAGGTTTCTCGAACATATCTAAAACACAAGACCAAAATTATTCTTTCATTTTGTTTTGTTATACACATTGTCCAATTTCTCTAAAAAAATGAAAATTTGAATAATGTACATAGACTTTATAATACTATGTATTATGATAAAGCAAAACCAGCGCGATAGTTAACTTTGTTTTATTTAAATAGTCATTGCTTTTTGCGTCATTATCAAGTTTAAATCTCATATTTTATCGAAGTGACGCCTTAAAACGAACAGACTCACATTTTAATATTTTAATTTTATATATAAAAAAAATTATTCATCATGAAAGTATCGTTAATGAAAATATGGATTTTTTTTATAATATTTATATATGTAGGTGACTAAGTTACAGAGTTCTATTTAGGTTTCATGAAAGATTTTACAAGTTTTGTCTCTATAACGCAAGACCAGAATTATTATTTTTTATTATAAAACTATTCTTTTATACAAAATTATATATTATGTATAAATATGGGAGTGTGTTTGACTCAATCCAGATGTCCAATATGCCGAGAATTGATCACGATTCCTCGCGGAGGGGTTGCCGCTTTGCCCCCATCATTTCTTGTGAACCAGCTGCTAGATTTGATGTCCAGACAACGAAGAGAAGTCGTGCCAAAATGCTCAGTTCATCTTAACCAGGTGTGTAAAATAATTTATTATTGAAATGGGAATATTTTATTTAACCGCAGGTATTTTATTTCATTGATATTTTCTTAATAAAGTACATCCGGTGATAATATATGTATAATTAAAAAATTATTGGCTGCAGCATCTCATAGCATTATTATATAATTGAAGAACAGAAATGTGAATGACATTTACTCACGTTTTCCATTGTTTCTATTGTTTACTGTTATTTAGTAATTATACTTAATTTAATATTGCGGATATATAATAGGCAGTGCATAGAATAATTATTATAAAAGTCATAAATGGTAAATGCTAATGAATATTTACAAATTATTATTAATACACCGCCAGCGATCTGCGACCCTAAGTATAAAATGATTACTCGTAAAGTAGCTTCTGAGAAATTATATCCATGTTATTAAATACACAATCATTTGATTTTTAATTATAAAACATTTATTTTTATTTATAGGAATTATTATTCTGCGAAAGTTGCGATGCTGTCTTTTGTTCCCTATGCACTGGTGGCACCCACAGTTCAACTCCTAGTCCGGCCCATAGGGGCTCTTATGCGAATCCTAATACAAATCTTAGTAATGCATCGACTTCTTGCGAACATACAGTGATTCCATTCTCGATTGCCATCAAAAGAATGTCTGAAATACTTCTATACAAAGCCAATGAATGCATAGCTAAGGTAAAAATTTATAAAATAATCATATATTTTTATCTAATAATTTAAAACTTATGTTTTGATTTAATACATAATTTATTTTAAATCATAATTTAATGAAGAATTAAATCATTTAATTAAATTTAAGCTCTTGATTAAAATATATTGGTTAATATTAGGTTGGAAATATCTCCCTTCCGCTTTTTTGCTCTTGGTTTATAATACAAAAAGGCGGAAGGGAGATATTTGACAACTTAATATATTGGTTGATTTTGGTACTACTAATATCAGTTCGCATTATCATAATTTTATCATAATATATAATTCCAGTAAATGGAAATATACAGTTTTTAACTTTTTCGGCAGTGTTTAATATATAAATATCTGATTACGATTTCTTGTCTGCCTGCAAATATTATAGAAATCTATGATATATCAAAGATAAAGCAAATACTATTTATATTAACATTAATAAATTATTTATATGCGTTCTATATATTTAAATTTAATTCCAAAATTGTATGCTTTATAATAAATAGATGAACGTTATCATAACGGTGTATATTTCAATTTTTATTAATATTATTAAAAATAAAACATTTTATTGTCTTAAAATAATATTCTAAAATTACCGATTCGAAACTCAAAATAAATATTTACACCAAATTTCGCCGGCTACATGCCAAGAACTGTGTGCCTCTAATGTGACCAAATTTATTTTGCATGCCGTTGCTGTTTTGTATAATAAAATTTTTAAAAATAACGCGTACTTATAAATGAAATTAAATTTATGCCTCTGGCTGTGTATGCTTTAAATGTGTTGTTTTGTTTTATACTTATATTCCAGTTCTTATCTTTGGCATAAAGATTAAATTTATATGTTAGACTAATATTTTCTTATCGTGATACTAAGTAAACACCTGTACAAGTGTTTAGGAATTACCTTTATTGCATTATTGTTTATTTGAACGCTGTATTTTTCTTGCTGTTATATTCGAGATCGTTTAAATTGGAACCAACGTTGCATGATTTTATATGAACTTATTTCGCTCTTGTTTCATCTAGTAAAGAGCTATGGGTATTATATGTAAATTAGTAGACTTGCGTTTAGTTTAATTTTTACTTTTTATTTTACTTTAGTTTAATCTGATTTATAATGTATTAATTAAATCAAAATTAAAACTTCAATTGGATGCATATTTATCAGATAATTTCATACAGATTTTTCTGATATATTTAACTCATATTTGAAAATGTTTCGTTTTTTAAATTAAAAAAGAGTGATTCAGTTATTATATTTCTTGAATTGAAGAAAGCAATATATGAAGTTGATTATATTGCAACGAGGTCAGCACTTCAAAAGCAAATATACAGGAATCCATATAAGTAATTTGGTTTTATTCCACTCTTGTCTGGAACATTATTAGTTTAACCGCATATTAGACCTATCAAGTTCAAATCAATACTAAGAAACAAAGAGGTCTATAACCTCGAGTAAAATTGCACGATTCCTTACGAATGCAAAGGAAAAAGATAAACGATTCTCAAATATTCAAAAATTTAATTCTCAAAATTTATTTAGCTTACCAGTGCACAAGAATCCGTTACTTTAGAACTGCAAAGATTGGATTCGTCAACTGAAAAATGTTTAGAGGCTGTTAATACCACGTTCAGGCAAGTCAACTAAAAATACTAAATAGCACATTATTGTTTATATTAAAAATCTAAATTTTGAAAAAATATTATTTCATAAAATCTATACAAAAATATTATTTCAGTGAACTAGCGGAGTTAGTAGAATTTAGAAAACAACAAATGTTAACTGCAGTTTCTACAGCAGCTATGGCAAAAAAGAAGGTTTTACAGGAACAACACGCGCTTATAGAAACCGAAAAATCTAAGGTAAAATGAGATATTCAGATATTTTTACAGAAAAATAATGTACATTTTTTATAATATATTCCGTGAATGTATATCCTTATATAGGTGGAACAAGAGTGTGAAGGCTTACAGTACCAAGTGGAAGTCCGAAGTATTACACAACGCATTAGCAGTTTGGGCGAAAAACTGGATAGTGCTTGTATTTTGGGTGATCCTCGCGAAAACGCCTTCTTGACATGTGATTTTAGACATAATGATAGCGTTGATACTGTTACCAATTCTTTGCAAAGTATTGGACGTGTGCGAACAAGTACAACTTTTCCTAGTCTTTGTACTGCAGTGTTAGGTAAGATTAATTGCCTGTTAAATTTTGCCAATTTGAGAGTGAGAATATGTATTCCGTATGTCATTTGTATGAATATGATCTATAGCAGGCATCGGCAACCTACGGCACGCGTGCCAGGCTTGGCACGCGATGGGGTTCTGAATGGCACTCTATAAAGTAATCAGGAAAATCGCAAATATTGAGTGATTTTTAAATAAGAAAAAATGTTTAATTATAATTATTTTTCTAATGTAGCTCGCTAATGTAATTCAACCTACGCTGAAGTACTTAAAGATGAATTTTCCAGAAGGTGCAAAGACTTTGAAACTTATGTGCCTATATTTTCCACATATCTCTGTGAACAAATTTTTTCTCACTTGAAACATATTTTGAGTTCACAAAGAAATCGTTTAACAACTAAACATTCAGTATCTTGTGTGAAATTGAAAGTTACAAATTATACCCCGGATATTGAAATGTTAAGGAAAAATGTGCAGGCACATTTAAATCTGTCGCATTAAAATTGTTTAGTTTATATTCAGTGGCAGATTAAGCTTTCTGCCGCCCTAGGCCCTATCTGATCAGGCGCCCCTTTTAATAGGCAATTTTTTACTTTTTTAATTAAACTATAATTTTATTCTAAATTACTTAAATACAACATTTAACTCTGCGTAAAGTACTCGTAAGTTATAGTAATCGCAAAAGATCGAAAATGAAAATTTTTGCATATTTTTACGTTTCAGACATTTCTAAACATTTTGGCATATATTAAAAAAAATTGATGTGTGTGTATGTATGTATGTTTCATTCTCATAGATAGGAAAGTTCTGATTAGTTTTTCGCTAAGATAGGTTTGGACAGCCGTTTGGAAAATATAGAACAAAAGTGCAAAAATTGCAATTCAGTTTTTGAAAGAACTGAGAGGCTGGTTTCCGAATAATTAAAAAATAATTTACTTGTACTAAAGGAATGAATAATTACCTAAATTTTTTGGGAAGGTAGGTTTAACGGTCGACCAAGCTTTTTTTGTAATTAGTAAAAGAGAGAAAAATTCGTCAAAGTTTTAGCACATAATTTTAAGTCGATTTTAAAAATTCAAAAACCATGCGAAAAATCTTGGTTGGAAATCGTATTTATTAGTTTTTGGTAAAAACCTGCCGGACTGATTAGGTTTGCGGGACGATCAGACGAGCCGGTTGTTTGAAATTAGCATAAAAAAGCAAAATTATTACGTTTTTTGGAATAAAGCCAGAAACCGATTTTTAAAATTGAAAAAAGATTTCTGAAAGATATCAATTAGGAGTCAAAATATTTGACAATTTTAAAAATTCATCAAAGTTTGATAAAACTTCATAGTCAAAATTTTTGTTAAAAGGCGCTTTTGTGATGTGATAAATCAAAATTTAATTTTCAAAAACGCCTGAACTTTCACAAATTAAAGAGACATTGGACTAAACTCGATAAATAGAACCGAGATATTCAAAAATTTTGAATTTTTTTTTAAAATTCTAAAATAATTCGATCATTTGAAAATTTTAGATATTTTAATTTTCTCAAAATTTTGATACCAGTGGACTTGCCTTTTCGGAAAACTAATCATTTCTTCATATCACTAAAATACCACGAACAAAATATTTTTTTGAGTCATTCCAATCGAATGATCTGTACTCTCAAAACCTTCATGACCACTTTTGCACCTTCTGCGCTCTGTATCTCCAAAAATGTTAAACCTGCCTGCATAAACAGTACGCCTCTCAGTCAAAGCCAAGCGAATATTTTTTGAATCATGCATGGCGAAGAAGTAAACTTTGAAAATTAAAAATCTTGGTACGGAATGATTCAAAATAATGAAGACAAAATTTGTAATAATTAATAATTTTTTTATAAAAAATCTAATAATTTGATGTCAATGATCATTTTTTATCACCGAATGACACCTTTTTGGATCACCAAAAACGCTGACCATGCTCTCGCAAAATTTTCGATAGTTCTTATTTCGTCATACAAGTAAAAAGTGTCTTGAATTATTCAAATCGGACGCTTCGTGTTTGAAAAATTGAATTAGCATTTTTTTAACTCTTTGCTCCCTATCCGAAACTGTCTTTGCAAAAAACTAATCAGCACGTCTTCCCGTATGCCAATTGGCAAAAAATTGTAACCGCATAAACACATGCATACATCCATTTTTTCTAAGGCATCTCAAAATGTTTAGGAGAACTTGAAGCGTATAGATATATAAACAATTTTATTTACGATTTTTTAGGATTATTATAAGTAGAAGTTGATAATATGATACATCAAGAAAATATCAATGCGGCACCCACGAATAATAAATTTGATTAGAAAACGCATTACGTTCTATTTCATTGAAAATGATCTCTGAATTCACAAAAAAAATTTCAGGATCTATCCTTAAAATGAATTGTCGTGTCATTTCATCGAGTTTAAAATTTTTACATTTTGAAAAATTTGCCGCCCCCTAAATTATGCCGCCCTAGGCCCGGGTCTCACGGGCATTTGGGGTAGTCGGGCACTGTTTATATTAGAGATTCATGTTGTTTGTTAATAAATATGTTTAAAAGATAAATTTGGTTATAATTCTTCTCCCCTAGAACCTAACTATATATTTCAAAATTAGGGCGGCACTCTAAAACACATTGGTAGAGTGGCTTGGCACACTACAGTTAAAAGCTTGCCGACCCCTGATCTATAGAATGTTAGTTGTTTGATAATTATGAACTCTATTTATTTCAATTTTTTTCAGATATGGCAGAAGTTGTCAAGGGTTTGATGTGCTCAGTTACTTTAAGAACTGTGGACTATCATGGCGAGAACCGAGTTACAGGTGGTGATCCTGTGTGTGCAGTTTTTAGTCCTTGTGATAACGAAATTCAGTCACAATCTCAAAGTCAAAACAACGAAGGCGATCCTTGTGAAGTGTTTGACAATGATGATGGAACTTATAAGTAAGTAAAAGAGATAGGCCAAAACTTAGATATATTTTGAAATTTAATATTCCATTCTCCGACTATTTATTTGAAGACTCGCATTTATTTACTGTCACTGTTTATTTACAAGAATTATTTTGTAGAATACGTTTTCGACCCACTCATTCTGGTCAACATTCAGTTAGAATAACGGTAAGTTAATTTGGTTATCAAGTCTCCTTCAAACTGCCAAATTTAGATCGATCTAATGCCATATTTTATTTAAGGTATTTGATCGTCCCATTAGAGATTATCCACTTATATTTACAACGACAGAACACAATAATCCATTACGAGTTTGGGGCCATCATGGAAATGGTAAAGACGGAATGTCCCAACCGGTTGCCGTGGTGGTAATGGCTAATGAAACATCAGATGATGATTATATATATGTAGTGGATAGTGGAAATTCACGAATCGTTGTATTTACAAGAGATTTAGAGTTTGTAAAACATCTTAATAATGAAGGTAATTGATATTATAATTATAATCGAGTACCAATATGCAATTCAAATACCAATATATGTTTATTAATGAAGGTTTGGAAGGCCGCAGCTGTACCGGAATTGCTTGTCACAATGAAGATTTAGTTCTAGTGAATTGGCGTACAAAAAATATAACAATTATTGATACTGAAGGGGAAACTAAATTGAAATTTACTCATGAATCCCTGGCGGAACCGACGTGCCTAGCTGTTGATCCTCATTATGGCCATATACTTGTCGCTGATAATAGAAAAAAACTAATATTTGTGTTTGACGAAGAGGGAAAATTGTTATTTGAAGTAATGCTTTTACTTATTTTAATGATCATAAGCTATTATTAAGTTTGCTAAAAATGTATATAACCTACATATTGAATCTTCTTAATCTATAGGTTGGTACGAAAGAATCGTTTAATTTAATATCTGCCATAGCAATTGGGCCAAATAGTGAAATAGTTGTGGCAGATAGCAAAATTCTAGTCTTTAGTTCTAAAGGAAATTTAATTCGAAAAATATGTGCTGATGATAAAGGTATTTATTGCTGATATATAAACAATTAACCGTATTTATATTGCTTCTCATAATATTTTATTTATATAAAGCTAAGGGGCATTATGGTGGTTTGACTATTGATTCAGAAGGCAGAATTATTGCCGCTCACACTGAGAAAGGACGAAATGTTATTCAGGTAATTCAGTTGAATTTATCACAGAAGTTAATTCATAGTCATATATTTATTATGATTGATTTCTGTGAATTTATGGTATATTTGATTTTTTTATTACTGTGGTTATCAAATACTATCTCACTTCTGTGATCAGAAATTTTCAGAATATTATTATATTTTTTAAGCTCTAGTATATCATGAATAATTTATTTGAATTATCCATATTTTAGATTTTTTCATTACAAGATGGAACTTTGCTATCTACAATTGATTCGAATGAGCATAAACTGAAAAGACCTAGTGGACTAGCTACAACTTGTGATCATCACTTAATTGCGGTTGATTTAGGTCATGATTGCTTGAAGAAGTACAGATACTGGTAATTTTGATATAAAAAGATATTTGCGTATTGAGAGTTTAATATGAGAAAATGCGTCAAAAATGAAGATGTATATTTTACATTACATTTAAAAAATCACAACTAATTTATTTAGGTAGATGTAGCCAGGATTCGAAAAAAGTTGCTATATGTAGTTGTTAAACAACTTTATCAAATTTGATTTAACTTTGCATTAGTTGAAAAGGGTGAAATTGAACTGAAATATATTTTAGTCATGAGACCAACATGAACAAGCGTAATATTGAGTACTGTATATTGCATGAATTAGTGGTATGTAAAATACTATCACGGAGAAAATCGTTAATTTTAATCATAATTGAATTCATGAAAAGCATGGAATATTATCTTAATATACCAGTAGTATATGAGTGAAATTATTTTGATTCAACTTGTATTTTATTATTATTATTATTATTATTATTATATATATATATATATATATATATATACATATATATATATAATATTATATACAAACACATACATGTATACATTTTTATCATATTTCATCACTATCTATCTTTCTCACAAATCAATATAGTCAATATCAGTCAAGATAGTACAATATGAAATTTTTAATACATATTTTCTTATAAGTCACAATCAATAATTGACGTAGAGGCAAAGTACTTTGCACATAATACATAATAATACATGAAACATTTACTTAAATATATTATAAATAAGTAGTTATAAAAATACAGATTAAATTTATATTTACTGAAATCACAAGTTATTAGCGGCATTTAAGTAATATGAACCTAGTAGAAACAAATCTGTAAAACGAGTTTAAATAATATATCAATATTTCTCGATTTAGATAAAATTTAATTGCACTACCTTATATATATTTACCGCTCCTGTTCTTTTTCTCAGGTCATTAGTTATTGCTTGTTATAATAAAAATAATTAATGAAACAATAAGAATTAAATAAGCTCTGCATTTAACTAATATGGTTAAGCTTGATATTAAGAATGATATATTTATGATATTGAATACTATCAAATTAGAATATCAATATTTTAGAAAGCATTAATAGTAATCTCTAGAAGATCTGGTTTTCAATACTCCAACTTGAATTTTTTGAAATCAATAAATATATCTTATTGAAATTATTTATTTGATCTGTATATATCTACATTGTAAACATGACTGTAATTCTTTTGGTCAACAATGTTTAATTATTTATTTATAGTGTTATCAAAATTTATATTTGATGGTATCGAATTTTCTCAATCTCAACACCATAATTTATTATATTAATATACTTATGAATTGTGAATTAGGAATAATGAATTATTTATTTTATACTTTATGAATAAAGTTGCGTAAAATTAATATTATTTTGTAAAACAATATATTTATCAGTTATTGTGTGATATTAAGATTGTATATATTTTCAGACAAAGTAACAAATCGTATACATAGTGCATTTGAAGAGATTTTTTATTGGTTTGAACTTAATTTTTGGTTTTTAAATGCTAGACCTGAAAAAATGTGTTTATGATTGCATTTACTTTGTCTGAAATGCAGATTGGATGTTGAAACATCTATGGGAAACGTATTGCCAAATTGGAACTTCCGTTGTTTATTTTATTTTGTATTATTGTACTTAATAAGACGTTTTATTACATTTGCCAGAATTATTTTGTAAGAACCAACTATTATATTATATAAGTTTAGTTATAGTAACTACTTTTAACCAAATATGAAAAGTTAAATATTTAAGAAATGCTACTCTCCGATTACTTAATGTAATTTAAGTCATTTTATAATTTTTTTACGTTTAAATTTTTGATATGTTTATTTTAAACTTGGTTTCTTCTAGTCACACTATGTATTTTATATTTGAAATTAGCAATACTTAAACATTGTATGAATTTAATATTTATTAAATTAAATAACATAACATGACGATTCTTATTACTTCTCAAATCACATAATTTGATGTTATATTTATCTTATTATTCTTATTTATTTATAAAGGTTATAACGTCTTTCTGGATAATTAATTCTTCTAGAGTGAATTGGCAACACAGCTGTAACCAACCATCAGTACTGAAGATATTTGCAAGGTGGTAATATCTACTCAATTATAACAATGAATTTGTAATGTATACTTATAATGTATTCATTTGCATTATAATTAAAACAAGATTTGTATTTCTTATTAATAAAATTGTCATTTCATTATAGGCCACTTTGCTCAGTCAGTGCTTGGATTCCTTTTTGGAAAATCAAACATTGGAGTTTGTAGTACCCATTTGCGATTTCAAACACGCAAAGGAAATGTATTATTTGGATTGTAGAAAATGTACAATGAAACAGGTATAGTAAAATTCTATAAAAACAAGAAGAAAACAGCCATTTTATGATTTTAACTTATGCATTTAAATATTGATGCATTTGCAAAAAACGATGAAGCTCATTTACAAATTTTTGGATGCATTTAAATATTGCTGATATATTATAAGATTTACGTGGAAGGTATTGATACACTTTTAATTATTCGAGACATTTAATCGAATTTTTTGATGAAGAAATTACAATATCAGGTTTTTATCGAAATAAGTGCTTCTCACTAATGCACCTGATATATGTTTATGTATTGAAAATACATTAAATCCATTATAAATACAATTGAAACTCGTTTCAATGTTCTTTAAAATATGTCCAATTTTTTCAGACTATGAAATAATAATCAGTAAAACAAATAATTATTGTCTCGTGTCTCGAAAACATAAGTTATCGATTATATTGAAAAATTAAAAAAAAAACTTAAAAATATTGTAATACTAAACAAAAAGTATTAGAATTTTTTAATTATATAACTTTATATTTCTAATATATTTTACGTTAACAAACATAGGAAAGATACTTTAGCAATTAATTCATTAGTGGTTGATTATCCTTTATATCTGTAGTATAGTCAATCACAGATAGCAATATCTAGGTCAATGTGCCAGAGCCAAAAATTTCAAAATCACGCCCCACTACCCGCATCAGTGGTAAAGGTCATATCATCGGAAAAGGCGAAAGCGCAACAGTCAGTTCGTAAAATAAAGATCTCCCGAAATCGGAGCTTGCGCTTTATGAACATGCCAGGATGCATTTATATAATTTCAAATGCACTGGTACCTGTTCAAGAAATATTTGATGAAGCAATTCATAATTCGGTAATAGTAAAGCACATTCGCTATGGTTTTTTTCTAAATCAAATTTTGAATTTGTTACCAAAGGAATTTCGGATAGAATGCACATGCGTGTAGCAATAATTGGAAGAATTATATGATCCGCGTATAACTCTCAATATCTGCATCATCTTGAGGTTTTTTTTTTGACTAATACTGATTTTTAACTTTAATATATTTTTGTTGTCAAAAGTTTTATTAGACCAAACACTCTTTTAGATTATAGTATTATTAATTTATTTTCAATCATAAATTTAAAAAAAATGAATGCTTATAAACTTTGATATAAACTTCTGCATTATTAATTCTACATTAATCAATATTACATATCTATACAAAGTAAAATTAAATTGAAAATAGTAAAAACAATAAAATAGAACGGATTGTATGCAAACATATATTTGCCCATAAAGGCATCAAATATAGGTAGGATATTGAAAGAGATCTTTTCTGACATTTACTTTGCAATTAATATTTATTTTAATGTTGTCGATTAAGTGGTGATCCAGAAATCGCTGAATTATATTGCGACCACAAATCGAATGCCTATAAACAGGGCCGGTCCTGGGGTACTCAGCACCCGCATGCAAATTTTTTTCTAGCGCTTCCCTCCTCCCCCTAATATTTTAACTTTTTGAACAATTTATCATAAAAATTATATAAATATTTAGGTTAATTTTTTTAAATGTTTTTTAATAAATCTGGATTTAGTACACAAAAAAATAGATATAAAATAAATGCGTATAAAATACATTTATTTCTAACGCATGTGTAATATTAATATTTGGGATTGGAAACATTTTACTTATTTATTTTGGGGGTTTTTATGCGATTTATTATATTGAGCAAATCATAGAGAGCAAAAAAATTCTAGCCTCTCATTATTAAACATAGCACTGGTTCATGTTGGATTATTTTAATTTAATTTTTCATTATTTAAAATGTCTAAAATTGCATCGTAAACTTCTCCTAATTGATATCGTAATGCCGAAGTGTATGTATTGTTGTTTAAGAGTTAAAATTAAATTAAAAATTATTGTCCAAGATTAGTAAAAGATGCAATGAAATTTAATATTTTTTGAATGATATTGAAAAAACTATATTATAAATTTCATATCCGAAACTCATTTTGGCGCCCCTTAAGGCGTGCGCCCACATTTTTTGCATGCATCGCATTCAGGGTAGGACAGGCCCTGTCTATAAAACTTACACATTTTTATAAAAGATAATAATATTTTTAATTACCTGTTAGTTCTGGTCACCTGGAGTTTGTAGATACGAATTGATTTTTTGGAAATTGATATGAGATCACATAGAACTATTTTTGTTTATTTTATTTCAAAATAGAACTCTGTTTAAGTGGTGGTTGTAACTACAAAGCGAAAGTACATATAAATTTTAGATGAATAAGGCTTTCTAAAAAAAATGAAAAAAAGCCTATTTCATCTGACCTGATTGATCTGATACCACTTTCTTTCAATAGTAGGTGATTAAATATCCGTTAAAATTTATGATGATAAAGTTTAAATGATTAACTGCCCGTAGGGTAAGTTATAGTAATCGCAAAAAAATCGAAAATGAAAATTTTTATATATCTTTACGTTTCAGTGGTTTCTGAACATTTTGGCGTACCTTACAAAAAATGGATGTATGTGTGCGTGTGTGTGTATGTGTGTGTGCGTGTGTGCGTGTGTGTGTGTGTGCGGATACAAATTTTCGTCGACGATTTCGGGAACACGGTTCAAACGATTTCGATTATTCAAAAAACATACGATTGCTGTTGCTATGGGGACGTGCTAATTAGTTTTTGGCATAAGCAGGTCTAGCCGTTCCGAAGATACGGGGCAAAAAGTGCCACAAACGGTAACTCAGTTTTTGAAAGAACGGAGCGTCCGATTTCAATAATTCAAAAAAAATTTTACTTGTATTGACAAGATGAATAATTGATTAAATTTTCATGAAGGCAGGTCTAGCGGTTTCGGAGATCTAGTGAAAAAAGTAATAAAAAATGCCATTTGGCGGTCAAAAATGATCATTAGGCATATGCACATCAAATTATCTGATATTTTATAGAGATTTTAACAGTAAGTATACATTTTGTTTACATTCCTATCGGTTCCGTACCAATGTTTTTCCGTTAGACGGCGACGCGGCGCTTACGCGCTTCTATATTTTGTCTCTATGCAGTTAAAGCAGTACGATTGCTTTGAAAAAAAGTTCAGAATTTCTAAAATATTTCAAAATAAAGAAAACATTTTACTTCAAAGAGTCTTCAAGAGAATTTTTCTCAAAATTTTATAGTTTCTCAAAAATCTAATTTTTTCAAAGTAAAATTTATTCAAAAATGTTAATCTATTTAAGAGAAAATAATTGTTAGTACGGGAAGTTCCAGCAATTTGCCTTAAGGCACGATGCCATGCGCCCCACTAGTTTTTCTTCAGTTTTTCCACGAGAGAATTGATGTTTCGCTTATTCCATGTTGTATGTATTGGGTTCGAAAAGCGCGTCACACGTAATACGTACATATCGTCGGCACCCGACGGTGCTAATGGAATGGGTGGTCCAACGCGCGCACCTCGATCAATACGGCACCGGCGCTTTGGCAAACCAAAATGGCTACGATAAGACTTCGCCCGATTCGATAAGGATTTGTTAAGCTATGAATTTAAATTTTTAGTCCATGGTTAATAATTTGTTATACTCGTGCTAGAAAGTCAGTTGAAGTGTTTTGCAACCTAGCTTTCTGTGGACATTTGTTTGAATAATTCTGTTGTGCAAAATTGTGTGGCTGGAAGTGATTAAACCAATATCGAAATATTTTAATTTTAATACGTAACAATTGCAATGGGACTTCTGTAAGTAAGTGAATTATTATAATATCAATAACAAATTTTAACATATGTTAAGCATTGGTTAAATGTTACAATTTTTTTTAATACGTAACCGTTATTCAAGTTTGATGTTACTTTTTTATATTAATAATAAAACCATCATTATTTATTCATATTCAATAGCATTTTATGCTGATGATTAAATTATACCTATTACTTTTGATGTTTAAACTTGGATGCGATTTATAAATTTGAACATTTTAATAAATTTTGGTTTTAATTTAATTATTAATACCAATTATTTAAATAAATTGCATATAAATGAAATTATTGCATACTGCATGAAATTTTTTTGAAAGATCCGTTGATTTACGTCAGAGTTTCTGTGCTTCAAGATTTGACATTAAGACGATTCTATCGATTATACATTTCTACATGGAAATGTATATGACTATGCCAAAAAACCGATATCTCTCTTATGAATAATCTGCCTTGGCCTATACTATATTCATTATAGTGTGGAAGTGATGTCTGTAAAATTCATAATTGTTTGTTGTGAATTATTATATAAGAATAAAAAAAAATAGTTGAATAATTTTATTCATAATGATTGAAAGTGAAAATTTCAGAGTTAAGTATATCTAGGAATTTCGTTCAAGAATGATTTTCTTACCTAAATACCTGAGTAATTAATATTATTATACATTGAATATTTTAGATGCATCCATGATTTGGAGAGTAGAGGATGTTAAAAATAACAAAAGGTTTAAAGAAGAAAAAGAAAGGCAAAAAGAAATCTAAAGACGCAGATTTATTCACTGAAGAAGAATTAGAACAATATCGAAGAGAACATTCAGCGCATTCTCAAGCCGGTTCTCCGAAAGAAGAAGTTAGTAAAAATGTTAAATTATAGCATGACACTTGGGTATGATATTTCTTAATAAATAATTTAAAATTTTGATTGTTAGGAGGCTGGTGAATCATCTACAGCACCAAAAACTGACAACGATGAGTGGTCGAAATTCAACGCACTTACAGCGGGCGTTGATTCCATTTTGAAAAAGACTCAAGGAGATTTAGAGGCTATTAAAGAAACTTCATTTTTTCAAAGGGTAACTCCAGCTGCTAGAAGAGAACAAGAGAAAGAACAAAAGGAACAAGATAAACCGCCAGAAGTCGTTGTAACAGAAGTACCTCAAACCGACCAAGTAGAAGTTCTTGACGGTGTTGTTAATTTAGAAGAATTAGAATCGGAAAGTGAATATGAGGAAGAGAGTGACGACATTTTTGACACATCTTTTGTGGATGTTGTAGAAAGTGGCGAAATACAATTGGCATATATTCCTGATTCTCCGACTGAAGAAGAACTAGGACCAGATCCGTTTGATACATCGTACGCCGACAGAGTTATTAAAGGCCCCGAGGTTTCTAAGAGAGGTAAAAAACTTGTTAGTATTGGATCTGCAGTTGAAGTTTTAACTGGTAGGGCAGAAATACCGACATCTTGTGTGAAAAGACCAAAACGTCGTGGGCCACAGGATCTTTTGCTTGAAGAAACTGACGAGGTACCAGTTGCAGATGTTACAGAAGCTGCAAAATCTATAAACGTACCAAAAAGTCTTCTTGATGATGAAGTGGAGATTCCAGATGTACCTATTGACTTAAGTGTTTCACTTCATCCACCTACACCCGTTGCACCTGTTGCACCCGTGAATGCAGAACTAGAAAGTTTTGAACCAAAAATCAATGTTGCAGAGTTTGAAACAGATGATGTCGATGATGAATTTGCGCAATTAGCTGCCGAATCGATATCAAAACCTAAAGAAGAAGTATTAGATTTTACATCAATAAGTAAAGAAGTACTCAAGACAGTAGAAACTGACGGTTGGGCCGCTTTTCAAGATTCAAATTGTAACTCTAGTGACATTGAAGTATCAGCTGTCATTAAGAAACAGCCACCAGCTAGACCGATTCGAGGTCCAAGTGTAGTGAAATTTGAAGAAATCAAAGATATTGATGATTTAGAATTAACTGATGTAGACCCATTCGATACAGCGTTTGCAGAAAATATTTTGCCAGGAAAAGTTGAATTAAAACTTATAGAAAAAGAAATACTAGATGATTTTGATTTTGATCCAAGAGCAGAAGAAAAAAATCCTTCAAAATTTAACAATCGAATTTTATCAGGTGTCCACATTCATGTAACTGACCCAGCTGGAGAACGAGAATCAATTTCAGGCTTGTCAGATGAACGTGTCTCAGAAAATGATTTATCTGCACTGAAAGTAGGCCACAGAGACTTGTTGGGTGGAAGCACAACTGATTTATCACAACTTGCTGATGCTCCCATAAGTCCTAAAGAAGTTTTGTCAGATGATTATTTAGAATATTGCGATCCATTCGATACGTCTATTGTAGATCAAGCTGTAATACCGGGTCGAACTGAATTGAAGTTTTTAGAAAAAGAATTACTTGGCGAAGAAGGTGGTTTAAAACATTCTTTAAGCGATCCAGACTTCGATCCTCGCGCAGAGGAAAAGGAACCTGTACCGCAACCTGCTTTAAGAAAATCATCCAGACCTGATATTTTACCGGTCAACAGCAAACAAGTTGTATTTGCCGTTCCTGGTTTAAATACCGATGAAAGTGAACTGTTAGGTTGTTCACAAAAACCTGGAAAACCTGTAACACCTTATTACCCTAAAGTTACATTGTATTCACAAGTGGGCGAACAAGAAGGTCAAGAGCAAGTAGCAGAATCAGCATTGACACATAGTTTATCAGACCAAGACTTTAATCCAAGAGAGGACATTGAAATATCAAAACCTACTCGCCGCCATTCTGATTTTACCTCGCATTCGCTAAATTTAGATTCAACATTTAAACCAGATCTATTGTCTGTTGACGAGGAATTATCGGATAAAGTCCTTACACCAGCTGGCCCGCAAGAAGTCGAAGAAGAGTTTACGTATGCAGATCCTTTTGATACATCTATTGCATGTGATTTAAAACCAGGCAAAGCCGAACTAAAGCTTTTAGAAAACGAACTAGCTATAGATCAAAATACAACGACAAAAGTTACAGCCTCTTTCGATTTACCAAAGACAATTTCTCAGCCCCAAGATTTATTAAGTCATCCGGCAAGTTTGGTGGAAGCGAAACCTTTATCTCCACAACCAATCTCGGAGACGACTGAAAAGTTTATTGCTGAATTTAGTTTGGACGACGATATAGATCCGTTTGACACGTCTATTGCAAATAACATAGGACCTGGCAAAACTGAAATAAAATTGCTTGAATCTGAGTTTATGCAATAGTTTCACAAATAATTGTTTTTGTTAATAATTTACTATAATCAATATTTAGTGAGTAACTAATAAGTGACAAAAATGGCAAATCAAAATGCAAACCCGTTTTTAATTGATGATGAATACGTTTCATCATCAGTTAAGCCATCAAATCCATTTTTGATGGATGAAGATTATGAAACTGAAGGTAATGTTCCTGATAATCCATTTGTAGGCCAAGATACCAATCCATTTGCTTGCGGGTTTGAGGAAGTCGATTCATCGACTGTAGCATCTAATTTTTTCACTACTATGGATACAATGCCTACAACAATGGCTGACATCATTTATGCGCAAGCTGGTCAAGCGATTGATACTGTTACCACAGACATACTACTTTTTGATGATGGTGGTATGGATTTACAAAATAGCGAGACATATCAGCCGCAGAAGCCAATGGATTTGAATCTAAAGGATAAAAATCGAATAGCTAATGAAGATGAAGCATTAAATGCATATAGTAGCGAAGAAGAATTGAACAGAGCTTTAAAAAAGATTCCACCTGCCCGACCGACTCCACCATCAAAAGAAACGCAAGATCTAATATTATCTGTAACTGGACATATGGAACAGACTAGTTCTCATTTATTAGATCGCCTTCCTGCCACTAGAACACCAAGTCCAGTATCTATGCGCGATTTACATTCTCCTAGTCCAACACCAGAAAATACATTTGGAGAATTTTTGAATATAGAACCCAAACCAATCGTGCCACAACCAGAGCAACCGGTGGAAATGAACTTCTTTGATTTGGATGATGATAATGATAAATCAGTAGCTTCTCAACCTATTTCTTTAAAAAGTGATAATCCTTTTGCTGCTGATGTAATGGAATCAGGGTCTATTGCTCAAGAGTTCATTGACCATGGATCTAATATATTCATGCAAGAAATATCTCAATCAACGGTGCCACCAAAACCCTCGATACCACCACAACCAGTAGTACCACCACAGCCAGTAGTACCATCACAACCAATACTACCACCACAACCCGTAGTACAACAATCTATGCAAAATGTACCTCCTTCAAGACCTGCACCTCCAGTACGTCCTGCTCCTCCTCGACCACAACCCCCAGCAAGACCCGTCTCTCCAAGTGTTCAAAATATACCCCAAAGACCGCCACCGCCTGCAAGGCCGATAACACCTGTACAGCAAACCAATGATAACGACCTTCTTGACATGTTCGGAGAAAAACCATCTGCTCCTCCACCTCCAAAGTCAAAAGCAGACATATTAAACTTATTTTCAGCAAATACTACCAACACTGCACCTCCTACTGCTGATTTATTAAGTGATGACAGTTTTCTTGTAGCGGCGGAAGCCCCACCGCAAATAACAGAAGTCGCACCACTGACTACAGCTCCGTTATCTGCACCAATTGTTTCGGCCGCGCCAACTGTACCTGCTCGAAGAAGTAATGAACCGTCACCCGCGATCACACCTACTACAAATCCGTTTGAAGTTATGCCCGATGAATCGGTTATTAATGAACCCGTGCAAGTTCAGCAAGTTCTAAGTTCTCAAACATCTCCTCAAAGCTATGTTGAAGCTGGTCAGATTTGCACGGAAACAGAACAAAATTATACGGAACCTATTTATCAGCCAGTAATATCTGACGTATCGGCAGTTCCTTCGCAAATAGCTTCACCGCCTAAGTCGACTTTGTCAACTGACGACGCATTTGATGCATTTGCGGCCAAGTTTGATTCAGCTGAAGATCGTAGTTCATCTGGAGCGGATCCTTTTGGGGGAGCAGGAGGTGCTAGCGCATGGGGAGGAATGGATGTCGACTCATCGGGTGCAGCATCTGGTTTTGATGCAGATGACGGTGGGTTTGATGCTTTTTTGACTATGAGTGAACCACCTCCAGTGCCGCAAGGTACGCCTGCAAGACCTTATGGTAGCAAAGCCGAATCCTTGGATTCAGAAGAAGGAAAAGACTTTTCAATCTTTATAAAGCAAGTATTATTTTATTATCAATTTCAATATGTTTTTGAATAAAAAGTAATAAGAACGACAAATGATACATAGGGATGCACTCAAAACAGCATTGCAATAACTTTAATTTTATTTTTTAGGCCTAAAAATGGCGATGCTTTATCTTCGGAAAGTGTCACTCCAGCATTAGCACCTCCACCTACGCCATTAACAGCTGCTTTAACAGATACAAGCCCGCGATTTAATCCATTCGATAAGAGTGAAACATATAATGAGCCCCCAACGTCATTACCTATGGAACAAGGTAACATTATAAACCAAAGTAAATAATTATAATTTAAATATTAATATATATGTTTGAATCTTTTTATATTTATTTAATTAATTAGAATAAATTAATTACAATTAATTTTATGTATTTTTTATAGATGGATCATCGATGCAAAGAACTGATTCACAGGAAACCCCGCCCACACCACTTTTTGATGAAGATGTTTCCCAACCATTGGAAGATTTTCCAAGAGTTAAATACACTGGTGAAGGCTGGGATATGCAGTTACGTCAACCGAATAAAAAGAAAATTACTGGCCAAAGGTGCTGTACTATTCCTATTTAATTAATATTTTATATAAGCGATATTTTTAAAATAAAAATAATATGTTACAGATTCTGGAAGAAAGTATTTATCAAATTGGTGTATCAAGGTGACAGTCCTGTGCTTTTATTATACAATAGTTCAGGAGATAAAGAGCCTTTTCAAGAACTTCCGTTGCAAGCATGTTATTCCGTATCTGAGATAGGCGCGCAACAATACGATACATTTGGAAAAATATTTACAGTAAAACTTCAGTATGTTTTCTATAAAGAAAGACCTGGTGTTCGACCTGGCCAAGTCACAAAAGCAGAAAGGATAACGAATAAATTAAGCCAATTTGCTGCTTATGCAATTCAAGGAGATTATGCAGGTGTTAAAGAATTTGGAGTGATCTTAAGAAGTTAGGTTTGCCTGTCGAACATGCACCACAGGTAAAAATCATAACATATATTAACTAATTAAAGTAATAAACATCTAACATAAGTAAATCTACAATTATTTAATTATTATGATATATGAATATTGTTTTTAATTAGATATCACAATTGTTTAAACTGGGATCACAAGAATACGAAGATATGAAACAGTTTTCAATGTGTATCGAAGAAGCCTTGTTTAAAATGTCAGCACATCGCGATCGTGCACTTAACTATAAAATGGAAGAAGTTCAAATAACTGCTGTGGACGAACTATACGTAGAACAAGATGCAGAGGGTAGAGTGCTTAAACAAATCGCCAGGGTGCGATTATTTTTCCTAGGATTTTTGTCAGGTAGAATCAAAACTTTAAAAGTTTATTATTTGACAATCTTAGGTTCTTCAAATCTTATAAAAATTAAACTTTCTTTTAATATAATTTTATTTTTAAGGCATGCCTGATGTTGAACTCGGCGTAAATGATATGCGAAGGCAAGGCAAAGAAGTTGTCGGTAGGCATGATATTATACCAGTTGTCACTGAGGAATGGATTAGGCTTGAAAATGTAGAGTTTCATGCCTGTGTTCAACAAGAAGAATTTGAAAGAACTAAAATAATCAAGTAAGTGACTTGGTATGAATTTCAGGATATTTAGAATAAAATTAAAATGAACTCATATTGTAGATTTAAACCGCCTGATGCTTGTTATATTGAATTGATACGATTTCGAATACGACCTCCTAAAAATCGAGAACTTCCTCTTCAACTCAAACCAACTATGTGCGTGACGGGAAACAAGGTACTATTTTAAATGCTTATGAGATTCTATACTACGAATAACTTCTAAATTGGTTTTAATAACGCTTTTAATCCACAGTAGGTTGTTTAAATTTAAATAAATTTTTAATACATTATTTAATTACCTGAATTTATGTAATTATTAACTATTCAAGGTGGAGCTTCGCGCTGATGTTTTGGTACCCGGTTTTGCATCCAGAAAATTGGGCCAAGTACCTTGCGAGGACGTAATGATTCGGTTTCCTATACCGGAATGTTGGATATACTTATTCCGTGTTGAAAAACATTTCAGGTCTATAAAACATTTTACTATTAAATATTTATAAAACACAATCGATAAGTTGGTTATTCAATAATTATTATTTTTTTAGATATGGATCTGTGAAATCAGCTCATAGAAGAACCGGTAAAATAAAAGGAATCGAACGTTTCTTAGGGGCTGTTGATACATTACAAGAATCTTTGATAGAGGTAACTTCGGGGCAGGCAAAGTATGAACATCAACATAGATCCATTGTGTGGAGGATGCCGCGATTGCCCAAGGAAGGCCAAGGTAAAAATAAAAGATTAATATGTATACATTCAGAAATAGTTTATATTTAACTTTACTTACTAATGTAATAACTATAATATTTTGGTATTTTAATGCTTAATTTCGAAAGACATGTATAATATAAAGAAACTAATATTTTCAAACTTTGACATGCTACTATATTTTAATTAAATAAAATGTAAATAGTAGACTTTTAAAAACGAAACACGTTTAGTAATTTTTCATAATATTTATTTTTCAGCTGTCAATATAACAATAAATTTAGTTTTCATGTTATAACATTACAGAAACAATTATATATATAAAAATTAAACTCCATAAGTCCTAATAGTTTATAGTTTGGCTTTAAATAATTTGATTTGTATTGTATTATCCGTAGCTAATTGACATAATAATAATTGACCGTTCACAATGTTCACTCTGCAGAGTTTTTAAGCGAACGCATGAATTCCACATCGGTTTTCTTGTTGTAAAACCAGAAGATATACGCCTGTTTCCAAATACTGAACTTCTTTGTGACAGTTGCACTTTTCCTCCATGCTTTCTTCGAAACGCCCATTTTTCTTTTGCTCTTAGTAGGAGATGTAGAGGAGTATCAATATAACGCAGCCCAATATGATCAAAAATCGCATTTCGTGACAAACTAACGAAGAAATTAAACTTTCGTTTGTATAATGTAATCATAAATCATATGCATTTGTTTAATAAACTTTATGTAACAAATGAAAAGCCTAGGTTGAAGTTTAAATTTCGATTACTAGATACGTCGTTCATCAACTCGTAATCCTGTTACGTTTATTCATATTTCATATTTTACATTGAAAATAAATAAAAATTAGTGTATAGTTATCAGTTCGTTAAAAGAAAACATTGGAAATATTTCCAATGACTACATCTGTCATATATAGATATGGTGGATGAACATTTCAATACCGTACCACTTTAATATACAAAATCAATCATTGGTTTATCGAAAATTGTCAGTAAGTCGTTGAATATTATTCACGATTTAAATGAAATAAAGTATTATGACCGCAGTCTTACTATATACACGTATATCAGATTTAAAAATCATATTATAATATCTCAATATTTTAGAAAATAATTTACACTATCCAAGAATCTGAACTGTAAAATGGATAAATAAACTAAATATAAAATTATAGTCAAGCTGAGATTTTAGATTTTTTTTTAAATTCATTCATAATCTTATACTGCTGTATGTTTTTTATATTTTCGCAACAAATCTGATAAAAATAAATTATTTAAAAAAGTTTTAGACATGCTTAGGTTTAGATAATTCTTTATTTTATGTTAGGAGCAGACATTTACTTCTAGTATGTTCTCCGCTGTATCTACTAATTATAATATTTTCTCTTTCAAATATTTGCAATGCCAGATCTCAGAATAAATAATTTAAAAAAAAGAGCAGACATTGGAATTATATTAGACAGGTTCTGTTGAAACTTTTTGCGCACGAAATGTCTAAAGAGCAAATTTAGGATTTGTTTGTAGAATTTTTCTGAAAATGACATATTGATATTCCAATTACAGGTGCATATACGACTCATCAGCTGGTCTGTCGCATGGCTCTCACCAGTTATGACCAAATTCCGGAAAAATTGGCCGATTGGTGTTACGTGGAATTCACAATGCCAGCGACCCAGGCCTCCCACACGACAGTGCGATCTGTGAGTCTTCAGGGATCTGATAGCGACGAACCGCCTGAAAAATATGTCAGATACCTGGCGCGGCATGAGTATAAGTGAGTCTTGGATAAGATGATTACAATTTGTGGAAATCTTTTCTCTATAAAATTATGATAATAGCAGACGTTTGATTTTTGTACAAAACGCAAAAGAATTTGAACGATACTTGTTGTTCTGCTGCACTTCTAAGAAAATTACGAATCGTAAAAAATTTATTTGCATAATTATTTTTTACAGTTTAAATGAGACAGGGTTTTATGAAAAATCAATTATTGAATTGAGTTTTCACTGTAGCTTCATATGGCAAATGTTTTTTTGCCGCAGTTGTTTGAGATTATTGGACGGCATAACATCAAATATAAAACGGAAATTAGGTTTCAAAACATCTCTATTATTTCATACGTTTCAAAAAATAAAATAAACGTGCAATAGTAGTATTAAAATAACTATTTTTAAAAGTCACATTTTTTATTTTAGTGCTATTATTGTACGTTATTTTTTCTAAAAAGAATACTACAATAGGTGATTATTAACGTCTGTAGTTACGTTTTTAAAAATAATTTTTGAAGAATCAATGCACCTGAGCTATATTTGGACTCTCTATTCAATATAGAGTATTGAAAAACGTTTTTAGTCCGAGTTTGACCGACTTCATTCTTTTTCATAAGTCAGTACTGTCAGTGAGTGCTTCTTGCGAATTATATGTGTTATATTTTAATATTAATATTTAACGTCATTTGAAAAAAATTATATCCACTGATGATAACTTAGAATTGCATGTCGTTACTTTTGAAATAATAAAGATATTCTAAAATCTCTACAATCTCATATATTTTTATCAATATTTTAATTTTTTTTGAAAAAATGCAGGAATCATTTTTGGGAATATTTTGAAAACGATTAAGGATCGAATATCGAATAATAACGATCAAAATTGAAGATATTTGAAAGTATTGTACAAAATATCAGAAATCAATTTTAAAACATTGCAAAAAATATGATGATTGTCATATGATTGTCATAGCCTTATATATGATAACACAGGCCAACAAAGAAAATGGTTTTCGATGACAATTTTGATGCTGTTTTTAACTATATTTGGGGCGCTGATTTCAAAAATGACATTGTTTTTTTTTCTATGAGCTTTAGTTTTCAAGATATGATATATATGACATATAAGGAATGAAAGTACAAAATAGTAATACAATTCAGAATGTTATTTTAATTAGATATGCCTACTCGTACATACAAACTTACAAGACCTATTCGGCCTTATTTGGGACATTAGTTGACACTGCTCTACCTACCAGTTGACCTAGAATGGACCTGGTTTCGTCAACTTTTTTTCAAGTTCTAGACTAGAGCTGATACAAAAAAAATGGTTTGCCGATTTGAAATCAGCGCGAAAAATACTATAAGAATCAGCTTTAACATTTGATACACCAAACAAAAAAAAATTTTTTCTAGGCCCGTGTAATCATAGCACTGTATTTGTGCAAATAATTAAAGTCATGGAAGTAATATCACATATTTAATAAAAAATATTTTATTATATTATAATCATCATTGTTTTTCGCTTAAGGGTCGGAATAGAGCATACACAGGGCGAAGGTCCAGGGGCGTACACCGCTGCAACCATAACACAACGACCCTGCGCCGTTAAGGAGGAACCGGCCGAGCCAGCAGCACCCGCAGCACCTTCCGATACTGATTCCGACTCTGATTAAGCACAAATGATACGATATGACCAAAAAGTAAGTATATTGATTCGTTTTAGTAACTAAACAGTAATTATTGTAAACTAAATAATCTTCTAAGCGACTTTAGTAATTGTGTAAAATCCAAATTTTCTGGAGCTGCGTTTCTCACAATTTTTATAACTGTAAACAGACAATTTTTATTATATGTATTTAGAGAAGTTCAACTAAAAATATCGTAATAATCACTTATTATGATTTAATAATAAACATTTAGCAATAATAGAGAATTAAATCGAAATGTTTCAGATGTCTGTTTTCTATACAATAAATATAAATATGTTTATCACTAAACTCTGATTTGATCACTGAGTTAGGAACTTTTTTTTCTTAGAGGGAAAATCAAAAGATGCCCTTATGATAATCCTTGAAATGCATGTATATAGGTGTAAATTGTATAAAATTCTATGTGTTTAGTGATATGAGAAAATTCTTAAGTAAGTGTTAACTGAATATTCAGTGCAATAATAATGATTCCCCAAGATGTACGATCTCAAATTGATCGATAAAGTTATGCATGTAATGATAATTTGCTAGATGCAAAATTATCTGTTGTATATATGTCTAATATCTTAATAAATAATTAATTATTATAAAATAAAGAAAAAAACAAATAATATAGGCAGATATAATTCTGTAAAAATCATGTGAAATTAATGGCAGCAAACATTTCTTACCTTTTCTATCTATGGCAGCAAAGTATGCGATAGTCAGCTTTTAAAACGTCTTTCAAAAGTAATTATAATTTGTTGTAATCGTTATTTGAGTACGTATAGTGTACGTATTTTGTTATAAATTATTAATTCTTCCAAAACTTTGTTATTTGCATACTTTCATGACCTCAGAATTATAAGCGAAAATATAGATCGAAGTAACAACTAAAGATCACGCTATTTAATCTAATACTCTATGGAAAGTACTATCTTATAATACTCGTTTTCATACTATTAATTCTAAAATCAATATTAATAATTTTTGTTCGGAATAGTCGTATATAATAACAAATACTAAACACGAGTATGTTAATAATCAAATGTGCATTTACAAAGACTACCTTTTAGCTATATTTAAAATTCTGACAATTTTCTACAGGGTATGGACTTTTATAAACCTGTTATTTTTTTCATTTCTTCTTAAAATGTTGTTATTACAATCCTCATTTTCTTATGAAAATATATAAGTTGAAAACGACAAGCAAAATATGCAATAATGCATGTTTAAATATATAAAACAAAAAAATATTGTTTGCTTATTAATATATTCCCAATTTGAATTAAAAGATAGCTTTTAAGCCTATCTTAAATGTAGCGGCAGAGATACTTACTTTATATTGTTAAATATTTCATGTTGGTCTTGAAATAATAACATATAGTTATAAAACAATACTCATTGTATATTAAATATATATTTTTCGTAAAATAAACAATATCAGAATCTCTCTTGGACAATACGTGTGCTTAATTATTTAATAATAATATAGTTCTTCTATTTACGTGTTTTATGTATGTAACTAAATGTATTTGAAATAATAAAAAAACGATTTAAAAAACGTTGTTCGAGAAAAATTGACATTTTGATATTTTATTTTATTTTATTCTTGGGTTTATGAAAATTTTGGAATATCATTTACTTGCACGCATGAATATTTTCTATTCATTTTTGCGTAGTTTTTTTTTCGGATTTATATTATATTATTATATATACATACATATATTTGTAAATTCATCAATATGTTTTACTTCAAATTATTGAATATTTTCTTGAAAAAAAAGGATTTAAAAAATAATTCAACCAAACATATATAAGAATTAGATGTTATATAAGTAATATAAAGTTTAGTGTAAGTAAATTTAAGCTCTGAATTGAGTCACGCAGCTATCAAACCAAAGATAAATGTATTATAAAAATTTAGTAATAAGTTATGATTTGGTATTAATTTATTTTGGAAATTTTGAACACCGCCCATCAAAGGGCGATGTGAAGGAGTGCATTCTAGTCAAAAAGAAACGTACTTATTAAATTATATGTGTAGCATGTGTACATATAAGAAAAAGTAATAATATTTAATAATATAAATATAAATAATATACAATTAGTCATTTAAGAAAAGTATGATAATTTTTGAGAATATATATCGAAACTGTTAAGAAGAAACATATATAATTTAATTGCATAATATTATTAGAGTACATATATGAAAATATATAGCATATAAAAATATAGTATTTACCAGTTGAAAGATATTGAATTATATCGTATAAAACTGTGCTACAGTGTTATACAAGGTGATTAATTTATAAGGTTTATTAACAATTATTGTTACGATTCAAATCATCATGAATTTGTTATATATTTGTAACAAATTTTTAAAAATATTCTAAGATTTAAAGTATGACGATGCATATGCACATACACTAAATAATTTTTATGAAAAATTTCTTTGAGCAGTCGTGTTTTTAAATATACTCAACAATATCGTTGCAATAACTGTTATAAATCTTATGAAAATAATAATTAATATATCAGATAATAGCACTTTAAACAAAATGTGACTAATGTAACATATTGATAAAGCATTCAAATTGCAAAAGTTCATATCCGTAGGCAGTACAACTGCTATGAAAACAAATTATTCGCTCTGATTGCGAGTTCAACTTAGAGAAATTATTAAATAAAATGAGAGAACACGATTTAGTGATAGAAAGCTGAGATAAAATGTTCCATTAAAAATCTTGAAATAGATTTTTATTTTAAATTGAGAATTAATTTAATATTTAAAGATATTATTTAACAATATTTTTTATTTATAACGATATTTAACGATAAGTCATTTGCGTTATACCTTGAGAAATATGTTATACAATTTCTGAACAGTTTTCCTTAATGCCAAGTACAATTTTTGAGATACATAGTAACTGAAATTCATTCTTATACTTACAAACCATAACGTCATATTTATTAAATAAAATTTATTTAATAAATTCATATATTTTTGGTTAAATAAAGTTAACACCATATAAATTATCTCTTGTTTATTACTAAGCACTTGGAATAAAACCAAAAATCCGTTTTGCAATATTTATTTATGGAGTTATTGTTTATGTGTCGAGAAGAAAATTATAATGAACATATATGTTTATTATATAATGGTAGAATGAAACCAGCAACAGTACTGCAATAAACTAATATCTAGCAATACGGTGGTATAATTAGCTTTGTAAAAAGTAATGCTTGACTTACTAAAGTAATTATATTAGATTGACGTTGAAAGAAGTTATATTGTTTATACTAAAATAAGAACGTATTCATTATAAAAGTTGTATAAGTATAAACTTGTATGAAACACTGTTTGTTGCATGTATAAATTACGATAATTTGTTGGTTTCTGTACATGTAAATTTTTGTTGGAACTTTTGTTGAATAATTTGTTGTTTGACTTATAATTATAAATACTATACAACTCAATAATTTATAATAAGAAAATTATCGATAGTAGTTATTGAATGTACATGATTGTTAAATAATAGTTAATGCTATATCGATTGCAAAGTTACAATTAGCAATACAGTGTCTGGCTAAGAATGATTAAATAAATTTGATGCATAACTGAAATAGTTTTTTTCTTATTTCTACTCGATTACCAATTAAATTGAATAGTTAAATGCTATGAAAAAAGATACATTCGTCATAATGCAATTATATGAAGTGAATGCAATTTCAATATTTGTCACTTGGTATTTTAGTGTTTATAGATCATTTAATTTAGTTAAATTATTGATAATCAAATTTTTATTAAAAATTAATTATTGATTAATTAATCTTTTTATCTGTAATTAGAGGCAAATATCAATATTTTTTACATACGTTTCAGAATATTTTCAGAATAGCTACCAAAATAATCTTGATCGAAAGATAAACAAACAAAACAAATAAAAAATATGTTTAAAATTAAACATACAATAGTTTTTGTATCATTTATCTAACAATTTCACTTCTGTTGTGCTTGATTTGTAATATATTAATTTTTGTAATATTTACAGGAAAAAAAGAAAATCGTTTCAAAATTGACAAACTTTTGAGACTCTATTTTGGTGGAAGGATTATAGTCACATTGATAAACACTGGATATAGGGTATAGAATGGGGTTAAATTACGAGTAGGAAACCAAGATGGCATCACTATTTACAATGTAAATCTAAAAATAACTAGATAATCTTTGGAAAATTTATTCTGGATGTTATATTCAGTAAGTATATTCAATTTTTTGTACAACTTTTTAAAATTATCTTTATATTATTTAAGATTTAACATTTTCGTCCACGTCTTCGCACAAAATTCTGATCCGATTTTGAAAAGTTAAAAACCCCTCGAAAGATTTTAGTGGCCTTACATTGTCTATCTAGGTTGTTGACAGTTTAGCTCACTGTACTAAAAAGTTTAATTTCAAATGTGGTTTAAAAATTAAAATGTGCTAATTAATTAAATAAATGTTTAATAATTAATTAAAACAGCTCTGCTTTTTCCTACAATCTTTGTTTATTTTTAGCTTTATATGTAATACCTTGTTTAATTCTGAATTTGATGTTGACATATGCATTAACAAAGTCTAATAATCGGGCATAACATAAATAAAAAAAACATACATTTATTGTACAATCCATACGTTTCGGATATAATCCTAGTCTTCATTCAATGGAAATAAAAATAGAATTAAAAACTAAAACAATTGAATTGGAGAAAAAAAAATTATAAAGAGTAAAAAGTACTTACGACTTGTTAATCTTAGTGTTGAAAGCAGATAATTCAACAGTCAAGTATTAAGTTATGGCAATGTACTACACTATATAATATAACCATCGTACTTGTGATTGAAACCATATATCACAATTATACCGACATTAATAAACTAATATTATTAACAAAAATGAGCTGATTAATAACATCTTACATTGAGTTAATAATAAATAAAC